AACGTGTAACCCTGTGGTATTTTTCCAGTGCAGTTAGGACACGCCAGAAGGTGCCGTTGTTCTAACCTATCTATAGTGTTTGCAGCGCAGATGCTCACTGTTCAATACTGTTCGTGCTGCAGTCGGACATCAATGAATGTCAGAAGAAGCTGCTGGGACAGCTGCTACATCAGCTGACGGAGACACCCGGACCACCCATGCGACGGCTCATTGCTAAGAACCTCGCTGCATTGTTCGGCGTCGGCGACACCTTCGACCTGTTTCAGACCGTCAACAAGTGTAATGACATCCTGAAGAACAAGGATGACTCACCGAGCTACCTACCAACTAGACTGTGAGAGTCCTCCTGTGGTCATCCATCCGTGGCTGCTCGTCACTCCGCATTGTTCTGTTCGTTCACATCGATTGTCCCTGTTGTTGTTCTTTCTTTGCCTCTCCATCGTCCATGCCCTTAGTTCGTTCATGCGATTCCTATGTTATCTCCGTTAGTTCGTTCGCGCTGTTCTTACATCTTTTTTGTTTGCACGTCATCACGGTTTGTGCGTTCTTGCCATTTGTGTGATTTTGCTGTTTGTAGGACCTTGTTGTTCATCCGTTCTCACCATTTAGCCATCTGTGGCATTCGTCCTAAATTCGTGTGTGTGCGTACACTCCTGTCATTTGGTTATGTCTCACTGACTGATCTATATCGTTCTTATCTGTCTCTGAGAATTGTAGATACTCGCTTGTTTTTGTCACCAAGTCGTGTATACGTGCAGCTGTATATAGCTTGAGTATAGAGAAGCATCATTTGTGGTTTGATGTTTACTTACTTGCTTTCATTTTCTCAGGACGGCAATAGCTTGCATAGGGGAGATGCATTCAAAGTTGGGCAGGATGATGGGGCGCTCGTTTGAAGAAACTGTACTTCTTCTCATCAAGTCGCTGAAGAATTCAGAGGTGGGATGTTTCATTCAGTTCATTTGTGATTCTATCTCAGACCTTGCAATAGCACTCACCACCTCATATCAATCACTAGTTGCATCACGAAACATCACCTAGTGCATTAATTCTTAAAAAGTTACTGTCTCCATAGTAAAGCATTATATTATAATAACGTTTAGAGACAGTAGTAGACAGTATGTAGTAGAGACAGAAAAGTGTTCATGTGTATGGTGTAGGTAATAGCAGGTGCATGTTCATAATGGTATACAGTTTAGCAATAATAAGGTGATAATTGTAATTATAATTGTTTATTACCATAAAATTGAACTTATCTTCACATTGTTTTGAGTGTAATCCAAATAGAGCATATATATATATATATATATATATGATTGTTCAGTCTCAGGGCCGCATGGAGATCATGATGACACTACAGAAGATTCTGGCAGGCCTGGGGTCAGCAGCAGTCAGCTGTCACAAGGACGTCTACAAGGCTACCCGGAGTGCGATGACCGATCGCTCCATGTCTGTGCGCGCGGCCGCTGCCAAGGTACACACAGTGCTCTGTGAGCCTCTGTCAACCAAACTCGTTTTCGAATTTGCAGTTTGAAAATCGATTAGGGGTTTTGCATGCTGATTAAGGCTGGATAAGATAAAAAAATGTGACAGAAAATTCGGAACTTCTCTGATATGGGTGATTCGTGCTTAAACCTCAACATTGATTTGGTGAGTACGGAGAGAATTCCTAGGTGTCCGCTGTAGCTTGTGGTTCACGTTTGGTTTGTCTTCGATTCAGCATGGCACGTAGCATGGTTCGTCATCTAGTGTAAGTACAGCTAGCCTGCAGAGCTAACATGGCTAGGCTCATTGCTGAACTGTAATCATTTCATTCACGTGTTGCAGTGTATGCTGGAGCTCTCCAAGGAAGCGCAGTTCATGTACACGACAGAGCTAGATGCGAACGCTTCGCTGTGCTTCCGTGCGCTGGACGGCTCAAACTACGACGTCCGCTGTGCAGTGTCCTGCCTACTGGGCGAGTTGATGGCAAAGTCCCAAGATCCCAAGCTGACCAGTGAGTGTGTGTGCGTGCGTGCGTGCGTGCGTGTGCTCATATGTGTAATTGTGCGTGTGTGTGCCCGTGTAAGTGCGTGCGTGTGCTCATGTGTAATTGTGCGTGCGTTTGCTCATGTGTAAGTGTGCGTGTGTGTGCTCATGTGTAAGTGCGTGTGTGTGCTCATGTGTAAGTGCGTGTGCGTGTGCTTGTGTGCGCTGATGTGTAAGTGTGCGTGTGTTTGCTCATGTGTAAGTGTGTGTGGGTGTGCTCATATGTGTAAGTGTGCGTGTGTGTGCTCATATGTGTTAGTGTATGTGTGTGTGCTCATATTTGTAAGTGTGCATCCGTGTGCTCATGTGTGTAAGTGTGCGTGCATGTGCTCATGTGTAAGTGCATACATGTGCATGCACTCATGTGTAAGTGTGCGTGCGTGTGCTCATATGTGTAAGTGTGCGTGCGTGTGTGCACGTGCATGCGTGATTAAGTGAACGTTTGCATCGCAATGCCAATTATTTTGCGCGTGTAATGTTTCACATGGTTCCGACTAATGAAGCTCACCTGTCATGTTAATCAACAGGTGGCAGCAAGGCGAAGCCAGTGTCGATTGACGACGCACTCGGCACCATGGCTTCAGGATTCCTCCGTGGTGGCTTCGGCTTCCTGAAGGGCACTGAGATGATCAAAGGCAGCAGCACATCGCGTGAAGTACGCGTTGGAGTCACCCATGTGAGTGTGAACACTTGGACTGAAGGTGGAGGTAGCAGAGGTGTCATGGGGACAGTGCAGCTATGTTGTATTCTAGAGGTCTAGGAAGCATTTAGCATTTTTTGCAATATCTGTTACTACGTTTTAGACGTTTGTGCACAAACTTGAGATAATAACGCCGCTGTCAGCATTTCGCGGGCGTACGTCACAGTGTGAGCTAGCCCTTCTAACGTGCTGCCACTGTTGCAGGCATATGTGCGCTTCGTTGAGATCAGGGGTGGACTGTGGCTAGAACGCAACATCTCGCTGCTGCTCAAGCACCTGCTGCTGGACCTCGTCGCGAACCCCCGAGCCAGCGCCAGCCACGTCGACGCCGTCTACTCGCGCAAGTGCGTCAACTTTGTGCTGCGCACGGTGCTGGGCGAGCTGCTGGGGGAGAAGGCGCAGATATCCGCCGCCAAGGAGCTCTGCCACATCATCTTGCAGCAGATGAACCTGCTGGGTGAGCACCGCCCCCTGTCAATGATTGAAATGTTTGTCCCTCGCCCTGCCAATGCTTTATGCGTATATGGTTTACACAATGTGACATTCTATGTGTTTTCGTCATGAAAGCGTGATTATTTAGCAGCTAGAAAGAGTGTTTTTCAAATGTGAAAAGTGGTCAGCGGTCTAGATGTACTTGAGAACTAGACGACTGACTAGAAGTGTCCGTTATGTGAGCGGTCTTGCTCAACAAAATTTGTTTGTAAATGATAATATAGGTGCAAGGGTGGGGGATGGGTTATTCATGGTGAACTAAACTGGATTACCTCTGTGTTTTTTATGAGTGTTTTTATGCTAAACCTGCACTTGACCATTGGGTGTATGTAGGAGATGCTACTACAGACAAGGATAGCAGTGTGGAGTCGCTAGCCAGCCAGCATGTTCTCGTCTGCGCCTTGCATGAGCTGAGCAGCATCGTTCAGCATCTGGGCACGTCTGCTGGCCCACTCGTATCAGAGCCATCTACTGGTAAGATTTACAATTATTAAAATTCACTTAAAGGGATACTAGACTCTAGGATTTTACTGCATACAACTGTATAACAAATCGTCTATACCCACACGTACTTGTTACCAGATTCCTAATTTAATTGTTATAATTAATTATACATCAACGCTACGAAATTTGAACGGCGCCATTGACCCGCGACCGTGCTGCCACCCTGAAAAAGTTGCACATTTCGCAATATATTTTGCACGTTACAGACCGAGGGCTAATCACAAAGGTGCAATGGGGTTAGCCGCTAGCTTTGTCAGCAGGTGGCGCAGCGGGAGCAGAAGTTGTAGAGCCGATTGCGCAATGACCCGTGGCAGATGTAAACATACAGCGATCACACATAGCCGATCCTATATTTTGATCAACATATCAGAACAAATCGAACATATTTATACCTAACTTTAAGAGCTCCTGATAGCAGTATTCTCCCTTTAACCCAATATATAAATTTTGCTCTATGTCTGTTGATATAATCGAATAAATAGCCAGAAGTCTCTAGGTACTAGAACCGCTAGTCGCATAAGTTTATAACCACCGGCGATCGGTTTGTTGCGACTATTTTGATCAACATATCAGAACAAATCGAACATCTCTAGGTACTAGAGCCGCGAGTCACCCAAGTTGGGGCATGTATACATTAGGTGACACAGGCCTTGTTACTTATGTCAGTGATAGCTATGGTGGAGCACGCCGTCAATGCTCAAAGGAAACTTCATGCAGAGACAGTTGTTTGGGATAGACGTATCGCATCTAAGAGGATTCGTGTAGAGGGTCATTGGTCTAAGCAAGACATTTAAAATATTAACAAGAGACCTGCCCCATCAGAAAATTTCTCTCGGTGGAAGAATTGTGAAGGTGTGCTTCATGATTTCTAACTTTAAGCGAGCTATTGTCAGCAGTAATGCTTAGTGTCTGTAGTAAATGGCCGCGTTTTAGAAATAAAAATATACATAATTTGTATGGCAAATTGGGTCTTTGTAGCTTATCTCAATCAATATATTACAGAACTCCTGAGCACACTTAAAAGAATAAACATCCACTTCACATATGCACCACTATTATCACTGTGAATCTCAATAACAAAATGGTTTATAAAAATAACCATTAACAGCATACATGTAACTGAGTAACCTAATGTTCAACTTTATTATAAAAAACACGTGATGGATTAATTGTGAACATGATTCAAAATACGTGGCCCTGCGTAACGACAATCCAGGGACTGCAGTACTTTGTCCAAATGGCTAGTCCAATGTGATGGGAGAGCTAACAGGTTTCGCATAGCAGCAATGGTGTCTTCAGGGTCGGTGGTGACAAACGTGATGTCATTCAAAGATGGCACATGCCTAAGCAACACAAGCAGCGGCTCGTGTTCCCAGTCGATATTCCTTGTCAAACTCAGTTGTGTAGCCACATGTGTAAGTGTCTGTCCAATGGCTTTGTGAATTTTTAATTTTATTCACAGTATTTACAAAAGGTTGGATTTAAAAATATAAAGAGTACTCGTTTTATGTAGACTGGTCCCGGCATCAAGCTTGCTCTGTTTGTGCTAGAGAACTGCTTATGCTGGTACAAACACTGGGGCCGCGAACCAGTCTACGTTTCCTGCAGAACGCTACGACCTGGTCGGTGCTATAAATACTGATCGGCGATGTACAGCCCAAAATCACCTCAAATTGACATGAGTTTTATTACGACGTCAATAGGCGATAAATTAGACGGGTCGTAGGGCGACCTGAGCCCGGCTTTACGGAACTGTGTAGTAGGGTCGTTCACACAATGATATACACACTCATAATACAGTAATATATTAAAATGAATCTAATTTAATATTGATTTATAAATTTCAGTCATGTGTATGTATTTGTGATCGCAGACACTTGTGAGAAATTTAGCTCGGTTGATACGTCTACGTTCAGGAACGGAGCGCATTATTAGAATACGCTCCCATTTACAAGTCTGTCTAAACTGCCATTGCGATAACCGTAGTATTTCAGCGTAATATGAGGGGAAAAAGTGCTGGTCAGGAGGATCGGCAGTTTAGTTTCGTAGAGATGGTGGCCCGAGCAAAAACTTGGTGGCTTCGGGCCTCC